TTGGTTTCCCTCCTGGAGCCGAGCCGGACAACTGCTCGCGATTGGACGGCCCGTGCAGTAGGCTGAGCTACTGCAGACTGTCCATACGATATATGTGCTTGTGTTTAAGATGTGCAGCTACATCTCGTTAGCGTGCACATGTACATAAAAACAGGCTCCTGCTTGTTAGTGCTCTGCGTGGTCACGGCTGCTGCGTGCAGGAGAGAAATCTCACTCCACTCTGGTGTCCTTGAGCGTTAATAGTCTCCTGTCCAAAGCATGGTATTAACTTGGCAAACGAGACACTGAGGTGTGTCTGCTAATCCACTGATACAAAACAGAGCGCCTCCACTGGGTGTAATAATCAACAAATAAACCGGTATAATCTATGTAACCTTTAGATAAATGACCGTCTTCGAAGTACCAGAGACAAAGACTAAGTCTTTTCTCATGGTGTCCGGTTCCTGCCAAGCCTAAAACAGCAGTTTCTCTCTCCACTATGACTAGGCACCTTCAACATAATCAAGGAGACAGTCCTCTTCTGAGAATGACAAATGTTCCTTTATCCTCAGAATATACTCGCCGTATTTCAACACAAACACTGCCAAACGTTTTGTGCCAAAATGTAACTAATCATGGAGCAGACCTATAATTCATTCTGCGTCTGAGGTACAGTACAGTGCCTATTGATGGCGCTCTTCTAGACAGGGGCTTCAGATCAAAAGAACAGTGACTGTGTTTTCTTTTGAGCGTAGGAACATGATGAAGTCGTATGAGGTAGAGTCGAGAAAGTTCCAGACATATATATATATATATATATATAATACAAGTTTCTGGACATTTCTGCAGCACCAAAGATGCATGTAACTATGGCTGCACAAGCAGAGTCTCTTATGAGCTCAGCTGCCTCAGCAGTCAGTGAAAAAAAAAAAAGAATTATGCAGATTTCTTCTTTTAGGATTAGTTAAATCCACTTTCCTCCCAACCCACAATTCCCAATTAGTGAAACCCACTCAAATGTAACATATAAGACTGCCTGGCTGATGTCTGTCACACTTACAGTAGAGCTGCGAAGTGATTTGCATTTGTAAAATGACATCAGTTAGCAGATATAAAAAGTGGAAGTTACATGAACCAGAAAGATGTGAGGACTTCAGTAACTCTTGGTCCAGCTGTAAGATTTCTGCTGCTCTGAGAAAAAATGCTGTTTCACTGTAGTCAGAATGACAGCCGAGGCTGGTTCTTAATAAAAATGAGCCATGGCTGGAGGAGCACATGTGGAGTAGGCCAGTGAAACAGAGGAGCTGTGTGCAAACAATAGGGGAGATCTTAGAAACAGGGATGCAATATTTAATACATGATACTTTGGAGTTTTTGCCCTCGACCTGACTCATGAACCAACCTTCTATCTGGACTTCCAAACTTCCAATCATCTCATTCCTATCTTTCACATTTTTGTTTTCCTTCCTCTCTGTCAACAGTTCTTTCTTCCTTTTAGTTTCCTCTTGCATTCACCCATGAGACAGTTGTGTTTTTTTTGGGGGTTTTTTTTCTAAGCACACCAGTTGCTTCTGGTCTGTTTACGGGCAAGATCTCAGGAAGTCAGCATCAGATAAGCAGACTCTTAGGATACACAAGACAAGCAGATACATTTCCAGTAAGACAGCTTCACATAAAAGATTCAGCCTGAGCAGCGTTAGCCAGGAGGGCTGAGAGCTGAGGGGCTCGTGGGACTGGATGTTCATGAAGGTGTGTTTACGTTTCTGATTTTATTTCATCTTTGGAAACATCCCTAATCAACCTACTTTGCAAAAACAATGAGAAACAAATTCTTACTAATAGGCCCGGCCCTCGTGTCTTACTGAATTAGCCCGACTTTTCCCCAGGATTACCTAACTGTCCCACTGTGCATTCGCTCATGACAGCAGCTTTTGGCCAAATTCTCAATTGGCTGTGGGCACAAAGTCTCCGCCCCTCACCTCATCTTTTGTGCTACGTTGCAATAATACAATAGAATGTCACTCTAATGGATACCAGATGCTTCCTCTCACAGTGCAGCTCTCATCCTCTAAGGCTGCAGAGTAAAGGAGAGGCTGGGTGGAAACTGTCTCACGAAAAAAAAGGTTTACATATGGACAGGGCACAGTAAATGTAGTAGTTATGAAATATGTAACAGGTTGAATTTTGGGGTCGCACATTGGAGGAAGTGGTTAGAGCTTCATTGTATTTTTTTTTACCTTACTCTTGATTGTGTCTGCTTTTGGTCCTATCCTGAGTCTCTCTAAGAGACAGGCCATTGGTTTGTTGGTTGGATCACTGGTCTTTCTGTACAAAAGTTCCACGTTCTCCCCCTCGTGTGCGAGGGTTTTCTCAGGGAACTCCAGTTTCCCCCTACAGTCCAAACACATGCAGTTTGGGGATTAGGTTAATTGGACACTCTAATTTGACCTGGTTATGAGTGTGACTGTGAATGGTTGTTTGTCTCTACATGTGGCCCTGTGAGGGACCAGTGAACCGTCCAAGGGGGACCCAACCCTAGCACAACAACTGCAGGAATTGGTTCCATCCTCTGCGCATCCCTAAAGAGGATTAGGCAGTAAAATAAAAAATAATTTTACTGACAAATCAAACATTGAAATTTTCCAAAATGTATGAGTTATAAGAACATTTATTCGTTAGCATTTTTGGATACTGATTGTTTCAGACAATGTTGGATATTCACACGTCGTGCTAGCCAATATGAAGCAAGGTTCCGTGTGGTGAATTCTGGGAATTCAAAACATCAGCGACGGAGAAACATCTGCGAGTCCTTGAAGGAATTTCTCTTTAACGGGCGCTGCGCTGAACTATAACTGTGGCCCACTAAAAACAATACACCACACGTCTCCTCCTGCGGCAGCTGAAAACTGACGCTTTTAACAGGGGACTAATGCCAGACTGAAACAACATTATATATTTTATATGGTTTCCCATTTTTTCTGACACATTCCATGAAATAAACTCACTCTATGATTCTAAATTAACCTCGTGAAATAGTTTAATAAAATCGACACCCCTGTGTCTTTTCCCAATTTAATATTGTGATCCAAGATGAAACATGATAAAATGTTATCCCACAGTGACGACCGGTTTGTCAGTTATTGCACAGTGAAGTGGTGAAGGGCTGAAGTGTAATCCTTCTCCAGAGAACAACATTGTCGTCATGATTTTGTTAGCTACAGCCAAGTTCCTCAAGGATGTTCAGTATTGTCTTACACTTTTTTTTTCTATTCATTTCCATAGTGTCCTTGTTTTAAAAACTTGCAGTCCCTAGCCTCTCGATAAAATCAAATTACATTTAGAAAAACACATTACTTCTTCTTTTTACATTATCAGGGCTGCCATATTAACTTGAGCTGTGGGACTAATATTTTTAAAACCAGTACATGACCAGAGGAAAAGGACACAAAGTCACAAATGTCAGCGTTATAGCACCTGTATCGCTGGTGCAGAAAGTTAAGAAAGTGGTCAAATGTCAGCGTTATAGCACCTGTATCTGATGTGAAAGAAGGGATTTCGCTGATCTAACAATTTTTAATGATACATTTTCCCTGTTTAATTATTGTATCGTGAACAATAATCATTTAGTGGAGTCTAATTCAGTGCAATTTCTTTTAAACATAACATTTTGTGTGAGGTAGGTCATTACGTTCTGCTCTCAGAGCTAGGTTACTAAAGTTTGCATATTACCGGAAAGACGTTGCCTACCGGGACGCTGAGTGACCGAGTCGACCTTTTCACTAATGTATGCAATTAGGACAATCGATTAATGCATAAAAACCTCGAGGACGGCCTGTGAATTAAAATGATGTCCAAAGTCTGATATATCTGACAAATGCTGACCAGAGATAACATTTTTCACAAAGTGCGTACTTTTTCATTTCTAATAATAAGGTAGCACGCCTGTTCTGTTATTTAAGCAGATCCCTAATATTAAGCTGTCATCAGCGTATACACCTATTTCCTGGACCATGCACTATCCTTCAGTTTTTAATTCAAGTAATTGAATGCCTTCATGCACAACGCTGCCTGATTTGACTTTAATTCGCTGCAGAAGTAATTAAAGAAAAATCTGAATTTTTCTGGTGTAAAAAAATGTTTCAACATTATTGCCATTTAGTAAGATATGGTCTATGCGATAATAAGCATTAATAATATTAATGTTAAAGGTCAAACTAAATTGATATTGATACAGAAGTCCACTTCTGGCCCACAGGCCTCTATTGCAAGCTACTGCTTCATAGTTCTAGAAAAGAACTGTTATGTCCAAATGTACTTTTTTTTCCGTTCATACCACACCCACTAGTTATTAGGTTTTGCTGTAAAGGATACTTAGGTCCGGTCTTTTTTCGCCTGAGTCGGCCACAGTTCTCCTGAGAGTCAATCAAAATGTAGGTTTAAACCAGACAGGAAGAAGTTATCTAGCAGAGTGTGCTCTTTACTTCTCTGAAGTTTATTTCTTTTTCTACTCTTGTGGAATTATAAAGGCTCCCAGCTAAATAAATAGAAGTTAATTAATGTGCACCTTCCCATTCAAAGGAGGGAGAAATGGTCTGCCGCACTTGATTTGTGAGCTGTTCAGTTTTAGGCAATGAGGAGGAAAGCTATGCATTCTAAGGGATGACTCTATGAAAAAGTAATGTGCATGATTAATCTTTAAAAAAAATAGTTAGAAGCGCTCCCTTGACCTTATGAGTCAGATCCCATTATTAGATGTTGGTCGACACTGATTTGCATTTACCCTCTCTGTACCGTGAAACCTACTGATGTCAGGGTTTTAGTGTATGTTTAATTTGATACTACAGTGTCTTCAACCACAACACAAAGACGACTTTCTGGATTTTTTCTTCTAGTGTCTGAAAATTGATACATTTCAGATAAACAATAATAAAATCTGGTCATTTTATAATTTTATTTTTAAAGTTTTTTTTTTTTTTCTTCTGGTCATTTTATAATTGTTTTTTTTTTTTCATGCTTTTCAGACATAACGGTACCTGACTGTTCTGCCTGCCATCCAGACGTGTCTTCTTTGTGTATACTACGTGTGCCATGTAGTAAAGAGAAGATTCAGACTCCAACCAAAGGCTGGTGAGTAATTCATAACTGCTGTATCGTTGGAGGGTCTTTAAACTGCCTAGGTATCAGTACAGCATCAGCTGCATCATGCTCCACATCAGTAGAAATAATATTGAATACAAATATGTAAAGATAACATCTAAGACCACTGAAGGCTTAAATACATCCCATCTTTCTCTGTTGGAAGCCGTGTTCCAAACATTGACACTGGAGGGAAAAGAAAAATTCGAGAGCAGGGGGGCTTCAGGGGCTTCAACCCATGGACAGTGTTTATCTACTCACTGCAGGCACAGTGTGTCTATCTTTGCTAAGCTGTCGCTAAGTGTGTGTCTTTGCGGTGCTGTCTGTGTGTGGTTCCTATATCCTGAGGTTTCTGAGGTGAGATCGTAAGACTGATAAATGACTACTGTGATTCCAATAACACCCAGCAGGACGAGCAGATGGACGCCTGTTAACCATTTCTGTAATACTAGGATTGATACAAAATCTTATTACAACTATTAGGCTTTCCTCATGTCTCAGTGGGCGTGTTTGTTTTCTAATAAGTTTATTGTGTTGTCATTGGTCACAGGTCCCCTGGTCAGGTGCTATGATTACAACCTTTACTCCGTTTATCCAGATAAATAAATTCCATAATGTTCTGATAAATAAAGACCATGAAAGAATCACGGGACAATAATATTTTTAAAATGTTTTGTTAAATTCTGAGAACTTATTCCAGTAATTACTAGATTTGTTTTTGTGGCTTTTCTTACATGTAGAGTTTTCCACCACTTTATGACATGGTTGTGCTGCAGTTATAAATGTTCTCAGGCCTTTCCTTGGTTCTAGTTCAGACATTGTTCACCTAGTGGAGAACGTGCTAACGTTTTTGTACGCAAAGCAAATAGATGTGTGGTATTTGTCAAGGCTTGGCCTGTCCACAAAGATTTTGGGATAAATCTACCTTTGTGGTGTTTAGGAGCAGCCAGGGAGGAAAATGGGACCTAAAGTGGTACGGTGTGGAAAAACGTGGTTCAACACATGGAAACCTCTAGTATGTTCCTGTGAACGTCCTGGGAGAATGTGTTGTGGAAAAGGTGAGTGGGCCGAGTCTCACTTCAACTAATCTGTGCTTCAGTGAAGACCACAGACAGACAGTTTGAATGTCCTGAACATAAGTGGGCTTTAGGCTGGGTGGGCTGGATGGACCGGAGCCCATACTTTGTTGGAGGCATCTCATCCCAGGGATTACATGGATCCCCCTAGTCCCTTTAGGAGTTTGATTGAGGACCAAACCAAATACAAGCTTTAATGTTAGTTATATGTTAAAGATTGTGGGCTTCCTGCTTTGAGAGCCCCGTTGATAATAAACCTGATGAAATCATAATAAGGAAATCTTCAAGGAAGCTGGAGGAAACTTTATAATCTATCTTCTGAGTCTGTCCTGGTCCAAGAATGTCCTTTGTGGTACTTCAAAGTAGATTAACAGTACAGAGTGTGGTATAATCAGAATGCAGGTTTGCGTCGTAGAAACCACTGTGGCCATATTCAGTTATTACAGGCACCACCACAGACGGACGATAATCAATTCACTGTAAAACTATAACATGGTGGAAAATGTGGTCTGCACAGTTGCCTTACAGCAAATAGATCACAAGTTTGTTGGTTGAATCCCTGGAGTTTTGTGTGGAGTTACTTACTTGTTCTCCTCATGTTTGTGTGGGTTTCTTCAGGTACTCTGGTTTCTAACAGTACCAGATTTCAAATACCTGGAGGACAAGTTAACTGGACGCTGGTATAAGCTGATCATAGGTGCCAAGCATGAGTGTGAATGGTTTTTTTGTTGGTCTCTGGTAAACTGTTCAATGTGTAGACCACCCTTTGGCCTTGACTGCTGCGATTGGCCCCTGAGGCGACCGTGGAAAGGAATAAACATTAGAAAATTACAATAAAATATCAACTTCATTTCACATATTAGTTCAAACTTGAAGCATTCAGTCCTTCTCAGAAATTATTTTTACTGTTACCTAATTATTTCTATATTAATATTTCCCCTGGTCTCTGTTGCTTCAGCTACAACTCTCCTTCTGCCTCCAGTCTTTGTTTTTCTCCTCATTTGTGGTCATCAAACGTTGTGAGCTAATCTCCATTCTCTTTCATGCCGCCACAGTATTCATCTTTCCCACTTTCTGTGAATCTGCAGATTTTCTTTAAACTAAAGAAGTTTAGAAAGGTAGGAGTCGTACTGGGAGAGAGCCTTTGAAATGTACGCTCCGGATGAGTCTTCAGTGCGAAAGCTTTCATGAATAACCACGTAGATCCATGAATTTATGAAACTCTGGGAACCTTAGGAGACCCGTCCATGGCATGTCCTGGAAATCACCTCTTAGCCTTGAGTCTGGTACTTGACTATGATTGTGAAATCAGCGATGAAGCATTTATGAATCACATCTCAACCAATTTAACGTCTTGTTTTTGATTTATAGTTTGTATTTGGCAACCAGCACTGATGACTCAGAGTTTAACTCTGCTCTGTCAGGACTGAGATCCTGGATGGATTAGGTGTAGATTTTGTCAGAGATGCTGAGGTTCTGTTTTTGACCCTGGATTCAAGCTGCACTTCCTGGACTACTTTAAATACTGTACTGAGGTAAAGAAAGTGCTTTATGATTTGTTCCTTCAGAGTATTTTATCAGATATATTTTTAGTAAGTACACAAAAATATAATATTTGCTTCTTTAAGTAAACGTATTTGATTTTCTCACCATCCAGAGTTTTGGTGGTCGGTTCAGTTGACCTTTAATTTAGACTAGAAGTGGAGCTGTGTCACTCAGTGTATCATATCTGATAAAATATTCCTCTGCTCAAAGACGTTTGTCACTGACATGTACACCAGGTGATGGGAGCATTACTGCTGTAGAGGTCAGAACAGTTGTTATAGCAGGTGTTGTTGCTAACAAACAGACAGACAGATTTTCCAATGAGGGCAGGATAGAGAAGTGTACTGTGTATTTTTTTTTATAAGAATATATTTAGGGTAAAGTGTTGTTTTCATATTTTGTGACTTGAGGGTTTGCAGCAGACTTCCAAATAAAGTGTCGCTTTTATTATTTTCATACTGTTTCCCCTTGCTGTTGCCACTCAGGTCTTTTTAGTTTATTCTTGCATGCCTATTGATGAAGTATTTGGTCAGTTCTATTGACCAACGTTACAGATATTTTACAAAAAGCTTGAAATCTCCACAAAGGACCTGTATTGTATTCTTTGCTTGTGTTAGATAATGTCTATGTCTATTATTTTTAGGGTTTTAGATTGGACAATCATGGCAAAGTATTTAAATTAATAAAAAATAAAAAAAACAGGCCAACCATTGTTTTGTTGCAGAAATGAACAAAGCTGACCTCACTGAGTTTTATCCAGTTTTATGAACCGACCTCATTCAATTCCCAACTCACATTTTGGTCAAAATGCGACACTTAAAAATGCTTTATTGACTAGTTTTAGGACCTTCTTGCTGTAGGTCCAGTGGTATGAGTCAGTAAATAACGTTATGTTTCTGTTTTGTCCATTAATGTGATTCCATTTTTCTGTGCTGTATGTATAAATCAAATTCAACTTGTGTGTCATTCTGTCATTACTTGCTTCACTCTATACTCCAGAGCACATTGGACACACTCTTGTTTCCTGACACTGCTCAACTCTCCCATGTTTGTAAAATATCAATTCGCAGTAGTGCACTTACTCATTTTTCCCTCTATTTTCTCACTACAGGGAGGCCCTTTGGCATTCTCTGTAATAATTTCCTTCAGTGAAAATAGCAATGTTGTGTGGCGTGTTAAATGGCCAACAGTCTAGGGTCACACCACAGGCATCTTAGTGCTTTCACACTTGGACCTCGGTGCATGGGTAAAAAAAATGAGCGAACAAAAGTGGCTCCACAGCCTGATGAACTAGAAGGAGTGAAGAGAGATGAGGTCATCGCTGTGTGATTTCCAAATAAATTGGAGGAAAACTGCAAAGGGAGTCAATGATCCGGCAGGTCGCAGTTAACCACCCACAAGTGTGTCTTACAAAAGCCAATATGTGCTGTGACGGTCAGTTAACTTCACTGATGAAGAGATGTTAAAGTGAGAGACAAACAACACATCTGAGAAGAAAACTGAGTTTCATCAAACAGCAAACATTTCCCGGAGATATAAATAAAATAAAACTTCCATGAGCACATGGGATATTTATTAAGTATGTTTTAGGTGATTGATATTGGACAATCATATACATTTGCTAGCTCTTAACAAAAACATAACAAAATATTGCTAATACTTTTTTGTCAAGAAATTAAGTAGATATACATTTGCTAGCTCTTAATAACAAAATATCGCTAATACTTTTTTGTCAAGAAACTAAGTAACTTGTCAGATCCTATCAGTCTAATATAACTTCAGGAAAAGAAATTTGTGTGAGGAACACAAAGTAAGAGCCCTCAATGGAAATATACTGGAAATTTGGTTGCTTTTCTGACATGAATACAGATTTATAAGTCTCTCTTGTATATTTCAGTTGTATCACTTTATTTTTAATAATAGTCAATTAATTAAAAAACACCAGTTTCGCCGTTTCTGTTCGGTCGTCGTGGTGTTGTTGTTCCTTTTATGGGCACACATGTGAAATATGGGCAACACTGTCCCCCATAGTTTCCATTGGCATTGACCCATACAATGGGTTGGGGTGCGCATCTTGAAGCTGTTGAAACTGTACCAAATTACTCATGTTAAGAACGCAGCAAGTGGAACTTCCAGTTGGAATCAATGCATGAACAACTAAAAAATGAATAAGTTCCAATACAACTGCAGGTTTTAATGGTCTTAACTTGCCAAACAAAATGTAGATGTCCCTTAAATGAAAGTATCCTTTGGAATTACAGTAAAGTATCACTGTGTAAAGCCGCACTGGCCTACACCTGATCAGCAGAGGGAAAATACACGTGTTTTCATGACAGGAGAGACTGTTATTTGTGGAGCCTCATGTGGGTCTGACTCCAATACAAACCCCTACCATATGGGAGCAGTTACTTCCAACCCCGAGCATTGATTACTACTGTTGTAGCGTCCATACAAATGCTGACCTCACTTCTGGAATCCCAGCCTGCTAAGTTGGAGACTCATTTAGAAACATTCACAATCAATTTCAGATGAAAACTCAGTGCCATCAATGTTTCAAAACAGGTTCATCGTAAAAATAAAGTCTATCCTGTTTCCCATCAAAATGACCCGTGGATGTTAGATAGAACCAGACCAGTCGGTGCTTTTTGGGGAATTTTATCTTCCTTCTTTTTTATGACACTACCTGCTGTTACTGGCTCAAGGAAGGAGCTCAGAAGGACATGAAGAAGAAGAAAAAAGACTCCTCAGGAATGGTGAGGACCGGCCGCTGAATTAAAACCAGCCAAGGTGAAACCAGATCTGAGTCTGTGAGGCATATTATGGTAGATAGAATAAAAGCTTTGGCTCACCCCATCTCCAGTTTTTTCTCCTTTACTTCCCCGCCAACCCTGAATATGAAACAGGAGATGAATCAGTAGTTTGTAAAACAGAATAACAAACCTTCAAACCCTTGCAGTCCTTTTGGGTAAGACTAAGATGGAGAAAGAAAAACACACAGAAGGCAAAGAACAGGAGAGTGATTTGGCAAATTAAAAGCCAACAATTATTAACGATCATCAGCATTGACTGGACTGATGTGTAGGTGGTGGTGATTGTGGGGGGCAGGGGGGGGAGCTGTCTGAAGGGCTGCTTTAAAGAAAACAGTACCAAAGGATTCCCCTGTGTGACTCCCTTTCCTGTGACCAATCACAGTTCAGGTGCTTTACCCCTGGAAGCCCACATTATTAAATTTAAGGCCAGGATTTATACCCACCGTACCAAAGCATTGGCTTTTGTCAGATTTGAAATCATTTATCCCATCCAAGGGTCAGCCAGTCCGGAGTTTGATTGATAGAGCCCATACAGGAGGGGGAGTATACAGTTACAAACTGCTGCCTGGTCGGGCCAGAGCTCCTGCATCTTTAATTCCACACTGAACAACCTTACAGAGTCCAGGCATAGCAACGGTGTAGTGCAGGTAAACAAGTCCCCTGACAGCAGTGAGAGACAGCAGAGGGGAATGGAAGCTTCCTATATATACACTGCAGTTAGAGAGCAGATTATAGACAAATAGTTATACACTCATATTGAGCTGTGTAAACAGAAGGGCTGTGGTCTGGTTATTCATCTGAGCTCCAGTACTTTATAAGAGACCCACACTGCCCTCTCTCTCACGTACAGTGTAAAAATAAAAACAAAAAAATGCAGAAAACAGTTGAACTGCTGTTCCGCCTTAACAGGA